GTAATCTGAGTTACATATAGCTCAGTAACAACATATCTGACTGTGATATCCAGTGTTTCCTGTCGCCTACTTCCACTCGCTAACACCAAACGGCATGCACTATTATGTCAGGTCATTTTACCTAGTGAGTGTTTCGTAACGTAATCAGCATTAATGGTTAATTAGCTTGAGATTGGTTACATTTAAGTGAATTCATGTGTGGCTGTGATCGCACACTAGAAAAGGGCAACAAACTAAGTAGAAACAATAACTCAGCGACCTTCCACTTGATTTACGTTCATGGGTATACAGGTCTCTGTGAATTACCCACCTAGATTATCCACCCCACGACGGCTTCAGAGCGTGTCGGAAATCGTGATAGAGGTATCGAATGGACCATAGAAATACAATATGAATTTGAGTGCATAACTAGTGGATTTCCTAGTTGAAATCTTGTTGATAAGACCAAGTGCAATTTCAATGGTTTCTTTTTAGAAGAAATATTATACAAGGATGATAATTAATTTAGGAACACTAATCCAGAAGATCCTTTATTCAACCCTAAGCGTTATGTATGGTTTCTTATAATTTTAATCATATTCTTCATTCCCTCTTTATTTCACAAACTATTATATGAATGGACATCATGTATCAATTTAGCCTTTTATCGTACTAACTAACCAGACAGATTTTGTTCCATTCGAGCATAGATTGATCAAAGTGTTGACTGGATAAATGTCTTTTAGAACAATAATCAAAATATATAACATTCATATACATTCGGTAGATACACTAGATTTTGAATTGACTAATTCCTACTGTCTGCTTGCTTTATTTTTGTTGATAGTTGTGAACATCTTGTCGTATGATAGACCATGAAGAGATCTACACAGTTTATCTTTCAACTGAAATAAAAAATATTCTTCTTTGGAAAAATATCATTTACACTAATCAGACGTTTATTTGTTTATGTAATATTCTAATCATATGGAAATTAACTCAAAAGAAAAAGTACACTTGCATCTTATTAACATATTTCTATAAATAGGATTTAGGAAATTCATAAAACGATTATTTAAGTGATATTTGTATTTATGATGTGTTCACATTAGTTTCAGATTATTATTATTATATCATTATTATTATTATTAGACATATCAGATGGGTTTTTGTGGAGATGGTAGTAATTTCAATGGTTAAGATCATGAGTCAGTTGAAGCTAGACCACCATGGAAAACCCGGGAGCACTGGACGGCCGTTTCGTCCTATTGTGGGACTCCTCAGCAGTGCGCACCCACGACCTCGCCCCCTGCGAGATTCGAACCCAGGACCTACTGGTTTCGCGCCCGAGCACTTAACCACTAGACCACTGAGCCGGCATCCAACGGTGTTAATGTCTAACTTCAACTAATCCACGAAATTGAGCGACACATTCACCATTGTCTTCAGTGAGTTACTACCTCACAACAGACCTGGTTGAACTCCACTGGTCACTACTTCTCACTAGAACTCCAGGATATACCTCGTGAAGCCAGTCACCAGTAGGTCCTGTGTTCGAATCTCGCAGGGGGCGAGGTCGTGGATGCGCACTGCTGAGGAGTCCCACAATAGGACGAAACGGCCGTCCAGTGCTTCCAGGTTTTCCATGGTGGTCTAGCTTCAACTGACTCATGATCTTAACCATTGATATTAGACATATGTTTATATATAATGTATAGGTCTTTTTCACGGAACAACCATTGATTTTTGTCAGTTAATATTTCTTTCCAAAAATTGAAACAACCAAGGTAATGGCAATTGATCGAAAACTCTCTAAACGACTAAAAATAACAGTCGAAAGGATAGTGGATACTTCTAAATCCTTGTCCGGTCAATATGGTGTGTTGAAACAAGTTGACGTCTGAGATTGTTAAGTGGTTCAAATGCCTGCCCTTCTCTGAACCAGGTATCGTGTCTAGTAGCAATGGATCACTGATTACTCCAGATAGGGAGGGGCCTAGGTTTATAAAACAAGTACAACTGAGAGAAATACCAGTAAATCAGTATGGGATGCTGTTCTAGGTCTTTAAGAACACATCAACTTTCTTCCTGAAAGACTCTGTGGAAGTTGTTTGGGCCATTTCAGATGGTGGGGAATTCCGCGACTTGACTACTCGCAAAGAGTAGAGTGTTCTCAAAATCCAACTCCCAAATAGATCTCTGTATGGAGTAGTGTTTACTTCACTTTCCATTTCTAAACACAGCTAGTCTTTTGCCTGAAGCCTCAGTAATACTTTTTGAGAGATTTTCTTTAATAATATGATGTTTTGTATGCCAAATTATTAGTCATAACATCTGGTATACTTATAAGTAGTTCAAATGATCTTCAATTAAAGAGATCAAAAACATTCGTCTTCGACTGCAAACATAATTCCGAACATATTCTGTGTTGATGGGGTCGTGATGTAAAACTAATACACTTGTCTCTCATTTAACTGAACAGTGGTTCTGTAATGAGATCAAACCATAACTTCAAGGAACAACGAATTGACGATTTTGTTCTACTCAAATACGACAATTTTTTAACTCTAATAACCAGACAAACATACTGAACAGTCTATTTGTTTTTAATCTAGTGACCACAAAAGTTAGTTTACGTTTAAATAAACGTTAGTTATTAGTTGTGAATTCTCCTTCGTCTTCCCAACACTGGTGATGCTGTCCACAACAACGATGGAAGCTTCACAAACAAACAAACCCCTTGAGAATGAAACACCTTCCAAAGCATCCACCTAATCTACAAATTTTCTCCATCATTTCAAAACTAGTCAATAGACTTGTAATTTAAATTATTGCTTAAGTAGACTTAACTGTTCAGCGCTCAATGTGAATGTCCTTGATTGGTGCATGTGGCATTAACTGACCAATATTTCCTCAATTTCGTAGTTTACACCGCTGATTGACTTCGTTTAATGAATTATTTAAGGTCGGCAGGCACTGGATAACTGTTTTGTTCTACTACGGAACTCCTCCTAAGTGTATATCAACAACACATGCTTAGATCGAGTCCACAATCTTCGGCCATCATAGCAACTGGTTAACCTTCAGATCACTGAATCAGTACTACCCAATATTTTACATTCGTAACTCCAGTCAATTCGTGATTCCTGTCTCACACCAGAGATTTTTCAGCACCGGAAATTTTCTTGTAGGGACTAATCAGTACTGAGTACACGATTGTTATAGGGTGGAAGGTAGAGATTGGTCAATATTTCCTAGTTGTTATACAATTTTATTAATCTAAAATTACTTTCGGATAAAACTATTTCCATTCATAACTAACAAGTGACCAACCTAAAATAAAACAAATTCCTAATCTATCTGTAAATGAATGTAAGCTTATCTATCGTATCATTCAATTTGTCATACACTCATAATTATAGCAACAAATATGTTAAATAAATTTCATTTATTTTATGGAAACGAAATTATTACCATTTTGTAAAATCTTTATCACGATTATCAGAAAGAATGTGTTATCTTTTATGGCTGTTACTATATTAGATAAACACAAAGATCCACATTACTTTCAACTCAATCGCCTATTATTGAACATGCCCATTTATTTATTACTTGTACAGTTTTAGAACCAGCATATTGAACTAACATAAAATATGCACCAGAGTTATTGCTACAAAGTGGTGGTCTTTTTTTCTGAAATTTATTATCGAATGACAGAAATTAAGGAAACATGTCAAAACAAGAAACTGGCGTGACAAAAGTGAACAAAAACTATGAGTGGGGATTTGATTTGTTTAGTTGTTTGCAATTTGCTTTTTTCTCTATATACCTACATGTCAGCCACTATCTTCGTTGGTAGTTGTAGATACTTTAACAAGTATTTATTCATGTGAGTATTCTTCGTTTTTGTAAGATGAATTATTATTGGTTTACATCACGGACTAGCACCAAGTGAAGGACCGTTGATAACCAATGGTGCGTTGAATAACTGTTTTGTCACAACTTTCGTAATCTCAACAACCTTTATTTAAGACCACATATGAGATCTAATCCAGGACCTAAACGTCTGCTAGTGGGAATAATACTTTAAGACCACTGACTTGAAATCCAACGGTTCACGTTTTCAGTCTCAACTGATTTATCATAATGAGTGACTATCATTCAATTCGACTGAGAACAACTATCATATTCCCCATGTGGTCAACTCCACAGATCAACGCTTCATTATAACAACTCATCATGACAATCAACTAACTACCGCCCCATCGATAATGAATATGAGAATTTCTCAAACTGATTAATTGATTGATCAGAAAAATGTGTGGATTCACTTACTTGATGTATTTATTTTCATCTCATGTTAGTGGATAATTAATTCCCATTTGAAATTTGAAGATGTTAACCATAAAACATTAAGATTAATTAGATAAGTATTGAGAATTAAAGAGTCTTAGTTCTATTATTATACAAAAAGCGCTCGCTTACTCCTCGAAATAGTTAATTAGTAAGGTCGTGTGATTTCACCTTGTCCTTATTCAGGAATCCAATTTATAAGTCTCTGTTGGTATGTGTACATCCTATATGGATGCCTCGATATTACCTTCTAATTACACGTTCCTAATACATTGGACTGTGACTAATAGTGGAATCTAGGACGTGCACTAATTCTTATTCGGGATTTCTCAGTCAAACACACCTGCACTCCAGTGTTGTTGTTCATATTTTAGCTCTTACCAACTCAGATTATCCCGAAGCACTAGGACTTGAACTCATAACATTTGTCACGGTCTCATGAGAGCTATTAACGAACAATTGGAAACGCACACTTCAAGTAAGTCGAATCAGGTTTTCTGGATATTCTGGCTAAACTTATTGAACAGCTACTAACTTATATCTAACAACATTCACTAGTTACTTAAGTTCATGGTATATCCGAATCTGAATCTATTTCATTGTGAATAACACCTTAAAAGAAGCTTAATGTTTACCATTGAGTATCACAATTTACTCAATTGTATCTTTTTACTTTCAAAGCAATTAAATAAGATGTCAACTTGACACCTTGCGCATGCTTGCTGAAATCAGTGTTTCCAGTCACTTTTATTCCTTTTAAATTCTCTAAATCGGTTAATATTCTTCCCATGTAATCATCACTAACAGTCTGTCATGTTGAGATTTAAACCGTCCAACAACTAGAAAATGACAGACACTAGTGAGTCAGTGAAAATTAGGTGAAAGTACATTATCTCATTTTGTTTTGGCTTTCCTTTTGTTAGTTTCTCCAAGAGAACGAAATAGTTGTTAAGAAATAACTGACATACTCCAATATTTGTGAAACCATATTCGTTTTGTCTTTGCGTTTCTTTCTTGTGTATATATGTTTGCAACGCTAAATTTTGTTGTCCTTCTTTCTCCTGTCCAACTAGCACTGATTACGATTTCGATAATTGCTGAGTGGTCAACGCCAATGAACAAAGACAACTTACTAAAAAAATTACTACAACCACGTGATGGATCGCGAGTAATCCTGCGTAAATTTGCCAAAAACATCTGTATATGTATGCATCTGAATGGGACAGTCTATACAGAGGTATGTAACTATTTAATTATGAAGTTGCCTCAATACATTTTGGTAATTTAAGAATCACTGACCTTGGACAGATATCTGCATGAATTGTTATGAAAATATTGAACAGAATAGGCAGTGTTTTCAACTTACTGATCCCAACTGGATAAATACTATAAACCGAAACGCAATCAATGCTATTCTGTTTTGCTTTACCTTCTTAGTTATGCGATTATTATTCATTTGGTACCAACAGGCACCGAATATGTTATAACTTGTCGTTTGAATGCTTATTGTCTTGGTTCTTTTAATGCTACTTTTGGTATCTGGTTGTCGCTGATTGTTATGTCGGAAACGCTTATCACTTATACTCGGAACGAGGGACCTCTGCAGTTCACACGACGCGGAAGTAAGAACATAAAGACTGGTATAAGTGAAGATTTATTAACCCCAAAACACGATGACGACGACGACCTTAGTCGAAAAACACTCATTTATATATTGATTGTGCACCCATTTCGATTAATAATTAGAATGAAATCACATCTATAACAAATCACATATAGAGCATAGTTCATGTCAATGGAATACAAGAATATCGCATATTATATAGAATAAAATATCATACGAGAAAAGAGAACAAATACTACATTGAGTAATCATTACATTGAATCAAAATGGAAGTAACCTTGAACTAAACTCATAATGAGTAAGTCAATCGAAAATTGACTTTTCTTTCCATCATATCAGAATATATATGCGCCACACAAGTCACTTGATTTGTGTGTGGACTGTGATACTTCCCGGGTGCCCAGACCTAAGCAGGAGTTATGCTATTCAGCTGCATGGTCAGATTTCAACAGTTCACAAATAGTGTTGAACATCCTTGGTAGGCGTTTCCCTACTCTTGTTTCAATCTATTTAATGAGCGGTGACATTTAAATAGCACTTCAGAATATTCATGTGGTAGTAAGTGACTAATGAGCATCGAGTTGAGTCATCATTTATTGAGGAATTCGTCAACCTTAAATTTGTTTGATGATGGAGTATAAGTTGGAAAGTGTCAATAATCTGATTCCATATCAATCATTAGTTTGGTACCAATCTATCAAGGCTAATGTAAGTTTGTAAATGTCCAATTCACTTAACTACCTCAACTACTATTTCGCTGAATTGATCCACTTCGTTCATTCGTAAAGTATCATCTCATTCTTCTAAGGTGCAACACAAATGCGAGTCTCTGTTTTGGTATTTAAATGTTAATCTTAAAAGACTCTGGATTTAACCAGTTTACTCTTCCAACTGGATTACATATTCTATGTACTCTCGACGTTCACTGGAAATCCGATTAAGTTATCGATTCCTGAAAAACTGATTAGGGTAAGCACTCATAATGAGTAGTATTTGTCGTTCTCAGGTTTGATAAAAAAGCTTGATAAGACTTCACAAGACTTGACAAAACAAATAGAAAGTAGGAGAATTTGAAAGTTTTTTAAAATTCAAATATTTACACACTCAATATCCATTGAAGCCATATAATGAGAAGTTGTTTATTTCATGTACATTTACTCATCATTTATTGTCTTCTTTACACAGCGTATAATTAACCAGACACTAACCGATAACTGTGAATGGCACCTCAGAGCATCAAGGCATGGAATAGGCTTTGAACGCCGACTAACTGAAGACGACATCACCGACGAATCTCAAAAACAATTCCTTTCTAATCCATTTACTAACGCAACAATCTATGATGGAACGTCTCCAACGTTAAATGTAATTGATGAGAAATCCTATACATTAGCTTCTGGTTGGACTCATCAACTGTGGCAACCTGAAGCGACGTGGCAAGTTTATGGATTCCAGCCAAAAGGATTACTAGCTGTTATTGAAAAACAAAGAAACTCCTCAAGTTTCCAACGTTTCGCTTCAATGCATAAAGAAGGTTCCAATCAGTCGAACGTAAATAGCACCTCAACAATATCTCCATCATCCTCAAGTAATACTGTGAAAATAGGTTCACAAGAAATGTTAGTTTTAGAAGCGCCTGCCTATCACTTCAACACACTGCATCACAAAGCAAAACTTAAGCACTGTAGCATGCTGAAAAATAAACTTGCAAAACTCGTACAAACGGAATTGCTTATGAGTTTACAAATCCTAGATAAATATAGACAAGCATTTCGGGATTTCAAACGTCTTATTAACAAACATTCAATAACTAATCATAAGTATAGTATTAATAAGGTAACATCAAATGCTCTAGCGGAACTGCTAGATCAGTGGTTGATGCTTCTGGACTATAAATGGCGCCAGACAATTAGATTAACCTACAAAACAGATTCAATGTCCAATTATCAAGTGGACAATTGTTCGTTGAGTTTCAAATCATCGTTCGAGATAAACACTGTTGGTAATGATAGTGATGATAGAATACTAGTTAAATTTTATGAAACACAACTGAAAACAAAGATATATTATGATCTATTTGAAATTGTACAGGATATAGTCCAGTGGACTGGCGAACAAAAACGGCATTGGCTACAGAACCCACGGGTTATGAAATTATTTCATTATTTACGTATCAAATGTCCATCGCCAAAAAAGTTGAGGCAAGCCTCATTCATATTAAGACAATATCTACCAAATTACTCACCAGAAGTCATTCATTCCAAGAATAATTTTCATTTTGGTCTCATGGGTAACTTGGAGCCAGCAACATTTAAAAAGCTCTTAGCACATGACATTAAATTAGCTAACAAACTAATTGACCGGGCTGTTTATATGAAATTTGAAGAGTATTATTTTTGGCCGATATTACGACATGTAAATACGAAAGCGATCGTGGAACACTCGATTTTCTTTGAAAATGATGTGCGCAATGAAATCAAACAAATGCCTTCGAACAGCATGTGCTACAGGCTATTTATGAGGAGCTGGAAATTTTATAGAGAAAATGATTCACCTAGATCTTGTTTAAAATAATACCACTTCCTAAATTTACAATTACAATTATGTCAAACTACTACATAGTAGTATAAATCTCTTCACTAAAGTTATAGATTTTTATTTGGTTGTTCACTGTTTTCGCAAGTATCATTTTCACAGTATTTAACCCACTTAATACATTTCAATCAGTTGTTGTTTTTTTAATTTAAGAATGAACTGTGATGCATTTAAATTCATGATGATTTTTATTGTGTTTAATATTACTACTATTACGACCACCATTAGGACTATTGATATAATGTTGGACAAGGACGTTTACAACTGATACTCTATTCACATATACACACTATCTTCGTATTCAATTTCATTTGTACACAAGTACTATTTCGTCAGTAATGTTTGAGTTGAACACTAATTAAATGTAAATGGTCATTAAGTTTAATTGTGAATGACCGTGATGAACAAGTCAACATTACAAGATTATTCTAAAGTGAAAGAAAATAACATATGTATGTGCACATTCTTTTGTATATATTATACATACATACATCTGCAAATTATCTAAATACATATTTGTAATGTTAGTATTTAAAATATTCTCTTTTGCAATTGTTCAATGAATACTTTATAATGCTATATTCATAATGATATTATGAATCTAAAAAGAAATAGGAATATAAATCGAAATGGATATCGAAAATTTCCCACCTGATCGTTGTGTGTTTTCGTTCTAATTGCCTTCATTTTCTACCACAACTACTATCCTTTGATTATGTTTGTAATACGCAATTATACATAAACACACACGTATACTAATACACACGCAGACAGATACAAACGAATAAGTACACTTACACTTATTGTATACACTTATGAATTACCAATGTTCCTTTTTCTTATTTTTAATAATAAGTGAGAACAAAAACATTTGATGGATAAAAAATTATTGAACTTTTTGATGAACACCAGATTATTGAACACTTATTTAGAACCTTTTTGTCTGAAAAGTTGTTCATGATATACATTCGTGGCTACCTAAATTTTAGTGGTGATAAATTCTGTATGTTAGACAACTTAGTAAGATTTTATTATCATCGTAGACAATAATATCAGTGTTATGTTCTTCGGTTACCCAAACACACACATACATACATACTCTCCATATCAACCCCAGTCTGGTATAAGAGTGAGAAGACTAGGAATGTGTGGGAAGCTCTAGCTGACGACCGAATCAAAGTGTACACGACTAATACGTACTCACATGCGTATGTCTCCTTCCACATATCTTACCTATTGTTTGACCTTAAGCTAGCATGTGCACACAGGAACGTGATATTTCTGCACTAGCCCACTTTATCAGTCATACGTTGACTTTGAAGTATCAGTTTGAGTTACAAAGCTTCTCTACTATCCCATGGATATTTAAAATTGGTAATACGTTATCTATTATATAATGGAAGGAATGATCTTTATAAACCGTTGCTCTATATTTACTAACTTTTACTAGGTAACGTTATTGATTATTGAATCAATTTATTGGAACATGTAACATCCGTAGCGTCACAATGATTCCACTTGTTTGTTCGTCGTAGTGTTGGTTTCTTATGATTGAATGTGGACCCGTTTACATTAGATAAAGAACACGTACAATCTGACTCAGTAAAGTCAAAAGCTTTTATACAATATTCATTTATAGAAATCAATGCTAACCAGTCTTTATCAAATACATTAAATAGATTCTGTCTAATTTAGGAATAAATTTTTTTACTGAGAATCATATTTCACCCAACTGTTCACAACAGATCTAATAGGGGTTTACGTGAATCAGTATATGGAAAATTGTGAATTAATACAGAATGAGTATTCACATTGACCAATCATATCATCTATATTACGATTTGGAGTTATATCTTCTCTACAACTGGCTATCAACATACGACCAAACATCCAGACCCTGTTGTAATCACTTCCGTTCGGTTAGCCGAATTTCGATGTGTCTTTATGTGATTGGTGCAAGTGACCTCAAATATGATAGACTGGCCTGGACAGGTAGTGAATACAATGGAACATAATTTCTTTCAAACTAACCTTTATGATTCAGTCACTTATATGACGTTTATGAGAGTTCTCACAGTATAAAAGGCTCACATTTAAGAGATTCACCGATTTTGTGAATATTGTTAGTGCTGAAGTATACGGAGTTTGCAACTGATTTTGAGGAAATCATCCGACGCGAAGACAGACAGGGTTGACAAACGAAATCCTACCTTAATATTGGAAAAATAGATGACAATGCGTTACACTTTGACGTTTATGTGTGCAGACAATATTAACCACAATAACATACTTCTTATTTTTCAATAAACTGAATTATTATTGTGTTACTTTGTGAAGTAAGAAATACCATCTTATTCAGCCTTGATTAATTTCGTCTTCATGTTGACTGTAAATCTAAAGGCTAGACAACAGTTTAACGATAATTACGAAGTAGAAATCTAATTCGCATGCTAAATACAGGTTTAAGTATTAGGCTCTGAATCTCATTGTCCGCATGAAGACTAACTATATTGCCCATCTAGACAAACTTTAGTGCGTAGAGCAACGTCTGGACTTTCTTTCGAGATCATACTACTAGGTGAATTGGTGCAACGACGGAAGCACAACGCCAAGTACTTGGGGGCTTCCTTGTGGGAGAAATGAGTAAACTACAATCACTTAGTCATAGATGTTTTCAAAGCGTTGTTCACATTTGGTGGAACAATCGAGTGAGCCACGCCGCGGTTACCAGACAAAAATGAAAAACGCGTTGGTGGGACTGGAATGTGTACTGCGTGTGTAAAACAACCGCCTACCTTAGCTGGGTTAGAGATAGATGGGAGAAAACCACAGGCAGCCAACCCAAGACATCCCACCAGTCCATGAAGTCAATGTCCGTCGGACTGAACCATTGTGTTAGGTGCGGACTACCTGGTTCGGAGGCATCGGGTGACTATAGTGTTTAATGCAAACAGGCTAAATCCATACAACTGTATACTCATTTCGACGGAACATGCAACTACCAAACGCATTACTTCAGTTCTATTGGTTAACTTCTGCTCAGTTGTGTAATTAGTTTGAATGCTACATATGCGAATCCTTCTAACATACCAGTGTTTAGTTGCCCGTCTATCTAACTGTTAACTACATTTCATCATTACATTGATCTATAAATATTTGGGACACGCTGATGAGCAATTGAGAATCCGGACAGTTCGGACTCGTTTCAATTCATTGCAGATTAGACCAGTCTAATGCAATTCTGGATTTATTTCATCCTAATCCCTATACTATGGTTATTTCAGTCAAGCTGTGTTCGTTAAGTTCTATCATACTTTGATTGTTTATTATTACTGTACTGGTCAGTTAATTCAACTACTTGAATATACATTCAGGGCCATTCATAGTTGAGTTCTTACTTAACCCGTCCATTCTCAGTCATCAAGTTGGTGACAATGAATATAGCTGTGGCATAGCTCAGAATCCGTCAAGCGTGGTTGCATCCAAACATTTATCTCCTTCAACATCCTCGGCCTCGATATTGTTTCAAGATTGTTATGCTGTTTCAGTCAGCCAAAGAAATTTCACCAATTATCGCTCTTGAGTCAATTTTAAATAAATGCTTGCCTTGGTTGAAACTATATCGATTCACTGCAATTTTTTATTTCGTTCACAAAATGAAGAAATAGTTTCACTGATAGTAATTAATCTCCTAATTGAGTGGCCGACATTTTCGTAATTTCTCCTGTTTTGCACTTCAACTTGGGGAACATACCCTTCCGTCTCACTTGTAGTGTGGAAATTTCGATGTTTTTCTTGAATTATCAGGAAATGTAACAGAAACTCATAAAGGACTGTAGTGACTCACGTTTATCACGAGAACACGACTGGTTTAATAAAAACAATTATTATTACAACCAACTGTACCAGTGTTTGTTTTAACGTGCTTTTGTTTGACTGTGCTAATGACAGCTATTTTGTGCTTCCATTCTTATACTTACACTTTGATTGTAACTTCGCGCGAATTCGGTTACCTTCTGTAACCAAGCTTGTATCCTGGCACGATCTCGGTATCCTTTCGATGCCACGAGATCGCCAGCAAATAAACATCGACTTGGTCCATTAATTGCCTTCTGATATTCGGCTTCTCGGGGATTTTATGGAGTCATTTGGAACGAGCTTCTTACGCCTTCTGATCTAATTGGCACGTGTTTCTTGGTAGCGGTGTTCACAGTTAATCTCAACTCGACGCCACGCTACAGGACTCCCTCTGACATCCAGCAGTTGACTGTTGAGTAATATATTAGTGAGGATTCAGTTTACCCTGCAATTAAGCGTTTGCTCTCAGTAATATCTCTCCAGAAGGGTCTCTAAGATGACTGCGTATAGTACCAGACAGCACTTAACAGATAGAATGGTTGACCTACTATGCTTATCTACTATCTACTAAAAATCTCTTAATCATATGAACATTACAATGCAGGCTATGGTCAGTTTATCAGTCACTACAGAATTATACTGGCACACACATAGACTATACATTTCTAGTATTAATTGACGAAATATCTGAAATGGTGAAAGGTCAATGGGAGCTAACCTTTATCATGACATATGCTATGGAAGTGTATTCAAGGTATACTAAACCTTGTCAGTGTACTCACCAATCAAGTCTCAAGGCTCCCCAGACCAGTACATCCTACTTCATTATCATTGTAAGATCCAAACTGAGGTTTGGGCTGAAGAATAGCTGTCTAGGTGGGTTAGATACGCGCCCTCGCCCGGTTGAAGCAAAAAAAGTAATTTGGTAAAATGACCGTTCTAATATTCATCATAAATTTAAATGTACATCGTTGCCTAAACAGATATGACCACCCAGCTATCCAACGAATAATTGTTCAATTAATCAAATTTAAATCACAATAAATAAGGAAGTTGATAAAGGATGCGAGAAAATTACCAGTCACAGTAAATAAATGCTATTCTGTCCTGTCCGGATAGAACACGCACAGATTCGTTCAAAAGATAATGTTTGGTTGCTTTGTAACACAGAGTGTTTCCAATTCTGGAAGAGTGCCTCAATTCACAATCAAAAATGCACAATTCCAGTCAATACAAGCAACGCAATCAAAAGGAGGAACAAACCAACATGGCTGCCGTCAAGACTAAGTACCAAGTAAAACAACATAAATGCAGTTCAGGAAGAAACACGGAAACTTAGTGAAGGCGTAAGAAAAATAAAAACTGTAATGATATACAAATATTAACAACTCAAATGGAATCAAAAAGACTAACAATGTACAACTAAAGGAATCAATAGGAACAAACTGCAAATGTATATATGGAGGGATTTTCACACACAAAATATTCAAAATGAATCTTACAATCATTACCCGTGTTACTCCAGATGAATTAGACACTTTTGATGTAGTGACAGCCATCACTAGTCTTGGTATAATATCACATCTCCGGAGAATTTAGGACCTGTGAGATCCAACGCAAATTTACTAGATAACATGAGGGAAACTTAAAACGAGCATCACCAGAAATCCAGTACTTGTCTGTTGAACAACTAGACAGCGAAAAGCTAGACATGGACGATTATTTAAGTATATCTGACAATTCAGACCTGAGTGGTTCAACTCAGACTGGCAAATCAAATCTGCTTATTCCAAAAAAAGTGAGGAATCCAGTCCACCGAATGCTGGCATTTTATTTGGTGATAACTCTCAGTGCAACTTACTCTGTATCTGTTTTACCCGAACGTTTTCCTTCTCCAATGCACTGCTTATATTATAATGTACAAGATCATGACCAAAAATATTGGGGATCAGAGAGCTCACAAACGAAAGACAATCAGGGATTTCTATAAAATTTGTCGTGCAAATGAC